GGGGGGGGGGGGGGGGGGGGGGGGGGGGCCGGGGTTGCGGCACACAGTGGGGGCTTGGGGTGGGGCAGGGCATAGGGCGCCACGCGAAGCCATGGAATAAACACACAGGGCACACGTGCTAGCAAAGAGCACGTGCCCTCGATTGCCATGCAGTCCTGCCGAACTGGCCTTGCAGCCCCTGATTCAGCAACAATTTCAATCTCTAAGCTGTAAGGTGTTCGCGCAGCAGCAACGCGCAGCTCTCCTCCCAAGCTCCGACCGGACACTCTGCAGGTTGATTTTTTGACAGCATGTCATACCATGGACGTCCTAGCTGCGTGGCATGCCGGGCCCTCAACCCCTGCGCGCCAGCACAAGCAAGGCCCCAACAGATTCGCAGCACGCAACAGCCTGGCCCATGTCGAGCACCACAACCTGGCGACGCTCTTCGCGCTTGTGCCCGGCTAACAGGCCCCACGACCCACCTCCTTGCTGTATGCAACCAGGCGCGCCTCGCCAGCAGCGGGTGTCGGGGATACCCGAGAATACAGGGCGCCAAACACCTGCATGGAGGAGAGCATGGATGCATGGTCAAACAGGAGGATGGTCAAATTGATAGATGCACGGATGTACGGATGTACGGATGGAATGATGGGTGAATGGGTGAGCAAGCGAGTGAGTGGATGTGCATGCATGTACGTTTCAACACGTGCATGGATGGGCGGAGGCAGATGGGCGGACAACATGTGTACACTTCGTAATGGCAAGCGCCGAACCTGCAGCACGTGCTGCTTACTGCTGCTCCCGCACGTCGCTCTTCCTGCACTTTGCTGCTGCTGCCTACTGTCGCTGTTAACTGCTGCTGCTGCTGCTGCCGCCTGCTAAAATTGCTATCCACTGTGCTGCCCCAGGGGGCCCCCGATCACTTTAACGTTGTCACTGCAGGGTAATCCCTCTGCGGACTGGTGGCGACAACCCAAGCATTGCCTGCTGCCCAGCCACCTCACCTGACGCAGCGAGTTGCCTGCCTCAGGGTCAGCGGGCAGCTCCCGCACAAAGGTGTTGTCAAATGCGAGTTCCTGAACAGGGAGGGCGACCAGGTTGTGTGAGCATTGCAGCGCTGGAGTCGAGCTACGGCCTGCGGCTCGAGGTGATGTCACTGCAGCTTCATGGATGGTCCTGGAATTGCTGCGCTTGACGCATGCGTGCCCAGCCTGCCAGTCACAACGCCGTCCGACCATTGGCAGTGCACCTGCTGCTCTGTAGGACCCCGCGTCACTTGCTCCCCACCATGCAAGACAGAACGACCCGTGCACCGCACGCTGCCGCTGCTTGGTTGGGCGGCTCACCTCAAGGCTGCGCTTGGCGGGGGCCTGAACGCTGCTGGGTGCAGCCATGCTCACAAAGCGCCTGATCGAGCGCAGGCCGCTGCCAAGACGAGCGATTGCTGGTGTTCGCAGCATTGTCATAGGGGAGACCCGCTGTGCGATATTGAGCTGCATCGCACCGTGTGTATACAAATGTTGATCACCGAACGTGCGACTGCCCCGGCCGGCCACTGTCCCTGCTGTGCGACTGTCCCCTGCCTGCCGCCCGAATATCGTAGAATTGTGTCGTATGGTGCAAAACTTCACGACAACCTGCCAATGCTTGCAAGAATATAGCTTTGATAGAAGTTTGCAGGAGAGACGTTAGAAGCTCCACCAGATCAATCTTGTCGTGAGTACTTGCCCAGGTCGCGGCCAGCAAGGGCAGCGAGAGTGTTAAACACATTGCTCGCAACAGTCTGCCGCACTTGCCAAAGCTGCATGTGCTGTGAGCCGGTCGCTCCGCCCATGGTGCATCCTGCCCAGCAGCTCGACGCGCTGTGGACGTCTTGAAATTAACTGGGAACCTGAACAGACGGTGCTGCGCCTCTCCGTCAGCCTTTGATTGCGGCGACGATGCCCAGCGAAGGCCTGACGACTCGCGCGACGCACGCAGTGCAGGGTTTGCGCAGTGCGCAACTGCCTGCTTACGGCCGCATGCAGCAGCCCTCTGGCACCCATCTGAGTCAAGGCCACACCTGAAGTCGACTGCGCTGATGGATTGCCCTCACCTTCCGCGCGCGCCAGGTCACCAACCATGGCGAACATGAGGCCTGTGGCCAGTGCATGGCAGCATCAAAGCAGTGGCAAATTCTTGGAAGTGCCATTCTGGTCCAAGATCATGCCCAGCATCCTGATCACCTTTGGACTCAGTGGCCTTGCCGTCTGGGCCAACAAGTGAGCGCCGGCTTGTCGGGCCCGGGGGCTCAGATCTGCGTAGTGGGGCTGGTTCGCTGCCAGGGGAAGAGTGCCTGGGCTCGCATACCCCTGACGCCACTGCGGCTGCAGGGCTTTGCACGCCAAGTGGAGAGGCGCGCGTGTGAGTTTGTGGCAGCAGGGCGCCTGTTGCGCGGTGGCGCCAGCCGCTCCCCCATGCTGCCTGGTGTCGCCAGCCCGGGTGGCCAGCTCAGCTCGCAGCCTGCATTGCGCAATGCCACGGCAGCCGGAGGGGTGGCCAGCCACGCCGGCCCGAACTTCTCAACCGGCCCCCTCCCCGGCCCCCCGTGCGCAACTGCGGCCGCTGCGCCGCACTTTTGCCAGGGCGATCTTCAATGTGCCCCCGCCCAGCCTGTCGCCGGAGTTCAAGGCGGAGGCGGCTGAGAAGGCCGGCGTCGTGGTGAGAGCCTGGGGCTCCATCGACGAGCGGGCTGTATTGCAGCACACAAGGGTGCTATTCATTTCGGCCACAACAGAGTGGCCCAGGGAGCGGCCTGCCTGGCTGCAGCAGGCCAGGGGCGAGGGCCGCTTTCTGCGGCCTTGCCTCCGTGCCCTTCTTCCCGTGGCTGCTAATTTATGTGCCTTTTCCCCCTCCCCCTCTTGACGCCCCGCCACAGGAGCGCATCAGCGCGCCGCCGGTGTTCTCCAACCCCATCAGGCGCGGCATCCCCGGCAACATCCGCGGCCCCGAGGACCTGTGAAGCCCCCGCTCCGACGAACTCCGATGGGCACCCCCCACAGCTGATGGGTGCCTGCGGAGCAAGGGCCCCCTCCCATCCCCCCTTCCCACGACCCCCTCCCAAACCCCGCCGTGCACGCGTGTTGACAAAATACGTGCTGCGCCCCTCTGCGTCCCGACCGTGATCGGGACCCTTGGCTTATCGTGGTCGACTGCTGGCTCTCCTTGGTCGGCCGTTGCATTGTAGCATTGCCGGGTCACGACACTTGGTCCCCGCTGCGCGCCCGCCGCGCATCGCGCTTGGGTGCGGTTGCACACACCAGCCTGCGTCTGCACCGCTAGTCGTGAACCGGATCACACCGCCTGCTGCAGGCGCCTCAGTGTAAAGCACTACACATAGCAAGGCGCGGTGCTGGGTGGTGACTGCCCAGGTGTATGGGGCTTTTGGGTCGGTGGGGGTGAAAGAGGGGCGAGTGGCACAACTGCGTGGGCAAGATTTGAACTCAGGTGGCAGGGGCTAAACTCAGGCGTTAGGGGCTAAACACACTGATTGCAAGTCCCAGCGATCCCGTCCACGCGACGGGCCCGCAACCCAGGTTTGGCTGCAAACCCAGATCGTGAAAAAGGTGGTTGATGATGACAACACCTCCCAACCACGGAGGGAGGCAGGCTTGGAATGGGCACAATCTCATTAGTTGCCGTTTGAGGGGGCACAAAGGACACAAGCAGTGAGGGTGGCGCCAAGGCAAGGCTTTGGCACAGCGAATCAGTGACACAAACAGCTGTCCACCCGGGCTGTACGCACAAGCGGTCCCCGCGCCAGCGGCGATCGCCGGCTGCAGCAGGCCGACGAGCGCAAGGCCACTCTCGACCCCCATCCCCGCCCCGGCCGCGTGCCAGGCAGCGCTGGCCTGCACGCCCTGCCCCAAGCACACCCCAGGGCGCGCCCACGGCCAGGGGCCGGCAGGTGCTGGCGGGCCGTCGCAGTGGGGCGACCTCATTCTGGGCCAGTCAGCAGCAGCATCGTCTCGCAGTCGTCCTCGTCAAACATGCCCACGGGCGCCGTCTCGGGCAGCGCGCCGTGCGCCGCGCGCCGAGCCGCGCGCCGAGAGGCCGGGGAGGGGGCGGGCGGGGCGTAGCCCCACGAATCGTAGAACAAGGAATCCGCGTGCCGCGCCGCCCCCGGCCCGCATCCGGGTGTCTGCACCAGTGGCCGGGCGCCTTCGGCGACGGCGGCGCCGCCGCCGCCCCCGCCGCGCCTTAGCCCAGGCCTAAGCGCGTGCGACGGCGGCGGCGGCGTCGGCTGCATGGAGGGGGGCGCCGCCGCCTCGCGCGCGCGGCGGCACGCGGACGCCAGGTGGCATCCCGCCGGCGCCGCGCGCGCCGCGGCCATGCACTCGCGGCTGCAGAACAGCGCGATGCCGCAGCCGGGGCACACCACCCACGGCCGCCCGCCGCCGCCGACGGCAGGCGGCTCGAACGCGCGCGCGAGGGGCGTGTGTGGTAGCCCCTGCGGCCAGCCGTCGCGCGCGGCGCGGTCCAGCTTGAGGAGGCGCCGCGTGAGGGCCTCCTCAGCCACCACGGGCAGCGCCTCCCCGCAGCCGTCACACGGCACGCGGACCCTCGGGCCGTTGGGGCTGGGAGCGTGCGCATGGGGGGGCGGGGCCGCGAATGTGTGTGTGTGTGTGTATGTGTGTGTGTGTGTGCGCATGTGAGTGTGTGTGTGTGTGTGTGGTGGGGTGTGCGGGTGGGTGACCTTCGGCCCTGCGGCGGCGATGCCAGGAGTTCCTTTCGCGCTCCGCGTCGTTTCCTTGAAGTGCAGTTGCCGCAACGCGCCCTCCCTCTTCCGTCCCGTCTTCTTCCGTGTGTCCCCTGCGCTCTGCTCTCCCGCCTGCCGTTCCCGCGCAGCCGTCGCCCTCCCTTGCCCCCC